TAAAAAAAACAAATTTAAAATCTTAAAAAATGGCAGAGTTACCGATTTTTTAATTGGAAGGTGCAGATTCAAAAATTTTTAGATTATATATATTATATTTCAAAAACGGCTAAAATTAGGTATAGGAAAAGCTGATGAAAACTTCCTTAAAATAACCCGATTAATCCAAAAACGCAGTAAAAAATATACCTTTCCATTTAAAATAAGAAAGTTGAGACCGACTTCCGGTATAAGCGGAAGTGCCGCCATCTTGAAAATATTTTCATTTAGGAGGACATAATGGTTTATGGCTATGTACCATTTTTCAAATAGATACGAACATTCCAACTCCCAATACTTCTAAAGTGGGGTTTAGACGGAACACCCTGTATAATAGTCTCATCAAAAATCAAATACTCACATCAAAAACCTTCCCCAGATCCTCAGCCAGACAACTACAATTATAAATCACCAACCCCATTTCTTTGACCTAAATAATAATAAATAAAAAAATTCAAATTGTTAAAAATAAGTTGACATTACTTGAGTTAGAGCTCTCCAATCCATATTAGCACTCCCGATATACACATGTTTCCTATCAATAATCCAAAATTTCGTGTGTAACACACCCCCACCTAGCAATTTTGCAAAATTTAAACTCCTCACTTGAGCTGCTTTTCGCTTAACTAAAAGCTCAGTATCCACATTTGGATTATCTTGAGTCGGCGAATTTTGTGCTATTTTTATTGAAATCCTCCTATCGGTTCCTGCCTTCAACAAGGCTTGGAAAATAATCTCGCCCTAAAAATCAGTAGAAAAAATCGTGTATTTTACTCGAGAGTGTTTACTTTGACTGATGACGGGTCGGGGTACACTTCTGACTGTCTCAAAGTCCAGTAAAATGAGGCTATTTCTATAGTCCTTTCCGCCGATTGGATCAAATTGAACCACGTTTCGAACGTTGAAGAGTGCACAAGACTGTTGTTGAAAATGAGGCCTTCGGGGATGCTTTCCACCAGTGATGGACTACAAGTGTTACAGGGTTCTAGTACGGCCCTGTTCAAGTCCTCCAAAGCCCGTTCAGTGGCGTGGTCCAAAAGGGGTAAAAGAACTACGAGGAAGATCAAAACGCAGATTAACGAAATGGGGATGCAGGAAGGCCGACACCATTTGTTTTTTTCACCCCATCTGCTGGAATTTCAAATTAGTTTTGAAAATTTATTTTAATTCAAGTTACTTTCGAATGGGACTGCCGTCGCAGTCCTGGTTGTGGCTGTGGCCCCATAAGTGATTGTCGTCGTCGAGATGGCCCCCCTGGTCTTCTAACACAGTCTGAAAATGGCCACATGCTTGAAAAATTAAATAAAAATTCTCGGGTCGTACACTTAATTTTTTCGAAGGTAACCTCACTTTCATTGTTCCATTGATTCTGATTTAGTTAATTATTGACGATATCTGATTTAAAATTAGAGATAAGGTGAGCCAATGAAAATGAATGGACTTTCTTTTGTGGCAAGGTTGGCAAAAAGTTGGGTTAGTGTTACCATTTTTTGGAAAAAATTTCTATAAAAGGAAAATAAACGCAAAGTAAATTGTAAAACTAAAAAAATGTTAATTATTATCGTTGAACAATTTTTTATTTGGAAAAATATGAACTATTGAATTTGATGTGAATAGTTGGTTGCCTACTCAATTACTAAAATAATGGAGCATTCAACAAAAAAATACATTCGTTTTGATCAATGATCACAAATAAAAGCTACATTTCTTTAATTAATCACAGTAATTACGAAATCTTTTCACTTAGTGGCATGGCCGTTTAATTTATTGCAAAGTTGGCAACACCTAGCTTGTGTAGGTTGTGTCTATGTTGGCAATAGAAGTAACTAAATTATGTCAACAGTTGTGACTTTACGAGAAAAAGTCATAAGCGATTTTTTCAAACAAAATAACATTTTGTCCAATTTATCAAATTGTTTACTTCTATGTTTAGTTTTTTCACCTTTGCGTAATAATTAGTTTTCTACAAAATATGGCGTTTATTTTTAATTGAAGCAAATTAAAATAGACATGTCAAATGTCTTATGTTAAAAAATATCATTTTTGGTATGGAAAACAATAATATTAAAAAAATCGAAAAAAGTGGAAACCACTAAATTGTTGCATGTCCTACTAATTAATGTACTTAATTCTGTGACATTGGGTTTTCTTTTTTTCTTATACAGGATGTTTATAAAAGAATGTATATCAAGGGTGTTGTAAAAATCGCATTTTATGTTTAATGAAATGACAAAACATTTACAATATAAATACTACAGAGAGTAGGTAAAACATTGTATGGTGCTCCCGAGAATCTTGACTGACTTTTAGTTTGTTCTGGAAAAACTTGGTTTTAATTCATATTCATCACATTACATGATTAAAGATTAACGTTTATGCAATTTTCACAATACTCTTGATATCCGATCTTTTATAAACACCTTGTACCTTCGCCTTGTAGTAATAATTTCAATTTTTTTTTGATAACTTTAAAAAAACAATGCTATTATAGCGTTTACTCGTGTTAGAAAATTTTTATATTTCTGAACATAAACTTAAGAATGAAAATTATGTACTGCAAAATGTACAGCTACATTAAAAAAAAACAAGAAATGTCATTAAAAGAGTTTTTTTTTCAATTTTTCTATGGGTGAACGTGTTTAAAAATAACAGGTTAAAATATTTTGATGACATGTCAGTTGAAAAATAAATAGGTGATATTTGAACAAATTATTATTTTTCTAAATTCATAATTTTCCCCCTGTATTTTTGATATTGACAACTAAAATCGAATTTACAATTGGAGAAATTTCATTTCCCGTTTTTTTTTTAATGTAGGTGTATAAATAAGAATAAATTACCCAATTATCCAAACATTTATTTAATGGTTTGTTGAGAAAATATTTCTTATTCACTTTGATAAATAGATGTAAATTGAAATCAATTTAAAACATTTATTTATAACGTACCGACATAAAGAGAACTAGGTTAACAAAATAATGAAATAATAATATATTGCAACTAAATACGAGTAACCTTTAGTAATTAATTATTTACACTTTTTCATTCAACTACATAGCGCGTTAAATATTAAAGACAGATATTGTGTATTAGGTATTATTGTGCTATAATAAGGTATTTGATTAATTTAAATTACATAATTAATTAAATTAAAAAAAAAACTACTTTAATTAACCCAGCAGTATTAATTGGATTGAAAAGTTGATATTTTATACAAAATTCATTACATGGGCAATTGAAATGAGTTAGCAATCAATTTTTTACTAAAAAAGTTTTATCTTTACAAAATTAGCCACTTCAAGTTTTTATAATCAACGGATTTTAAAAGTTAAATTAATTAAGTAAAATTGCTTAGAAAATTCA